CTGTTAAAAGCTTAGAATACTTTTCCACACATTCTTTCGGAATGTTACCATGAATGTATGTACCCTATCAACCAAGAACATATATATTGACTAACAAATTATACATTACTTTTTTGCAGTTTAAATTAAAAGAGAACTTACCTCAGAGTCATGGAAGACACATTCCTGGCTCTTGATGCTATCCAAACTATTGCGGCCTTCAGGTACCGTATAGGTACGAATCAATCGTAGCCTTATAGCTTTCTTGTAAGTGGATAGTTTGATGTCTTTGCCTAGAACATAAACAGGAGCCATTGGCATGTATTTGCAGATTTAATTGGTTCCTTCTAAGCAACCAAGAAAGATGAACGAAACAAAATGGTAGGCAATAATGAAGTTCCCTCTAAGTATTTATACATGGTGGCTGAGAAATTTGAAATCAGCATTGATCTCTTGGATGCCTCCCAATTAAACCTGCACATCGGAAGAACAAACGACACATGATCTCTCGGATGCCTCCAAATTATGATTATGATTTAATATATATATATATATATATATATATATATATATATATATATATATTGTGTCCGTTGTATATAGATAGAAATTGTATGTATTTGTAATTTCTATTGTATTGTATTTCTCATTATTGGAGAGTTTATTAGAGTCCCAATTCAATATTTGTCAGCCGCATTAATATCATTGGCGACTGACCAGTTTCCCATAGAATTGGGACTCTAAAAAACTGCTGCTAATCAAATTTGTATTTTTTCAATTCTTTCATTTCAAAGACCAACACCATTGATTTCATTTTTTCCTTTTTTTTATTTCGATTAATCGAGAATGATAACCAAAACGACGTAGTATATATTGGGTGGGAAAATGGAGCCATTTCATTGGCCGAATTCTTATGGCTTTAATATGTAGGAAGATATTTTGTCACTATCAACAAAATATATATTCATGATTGATCATATAATTTGATTTATAAATTAATATTTTTTATTTATAGAAAAGTTTGCAGTCATTACTCGAATGTGCATTCTGAGTGAACCTCATCTTGTGACCTTAATAGGTAAAAAATCGAACCTGCATGGGCAGCTCAATTGGTCATAGAGGTGAAAGTTTGAAAGAATGACCAGGCAAACAAAGCAAAGCAAGAATTCCTTTGTTTCTTGTTCTGTGTAAAATGCGGTTGTTGGAGTGATAGCATTCAACATGCCACCTGGAATTAAACCAGTATTAATTCCATAACAGATGAGTTTAATCTTCACAACAGGCTGTCCTTCACAAGGACTAGCAACACGATTTCCGGACAACATTCGTTTCAACGCACACGAGCTTGAATCAAGCATTTTCGATCTCGTTTCTAGTTGAAATTTGATTTGTATCGTTTCTAAAAGAGCTCTTGTATAAAAGGGGTGCAAATTTTCCCTTCATTTTTTCAACTCAAATGGGTCTACTTTGAGAATCGATATCTCATTCACCCATTATCCGTTTTGAGCGTACAATATATCAATCTCTTCGTCTCACTACGAAGAACCCGAATCCACTTTGACCCAACTCAAATCAAAAGTGGACCCCAGTGTATCACAAAATAGCCACTTAATATGCTATTTTAGGCTATTTTTTCCAACAAAATCAACTTAAGTTTCCATAACTAATCAGCTCTATATATATAGTACACTGCTTTTTACTTTTGACAAATAAAAATAAAATATTTTTTACAGATGGCATTTTACAATTTCTTATAAAGTTATAAGGGAAAATGGCACTTTTTCCCCCTATGTTATATACTTATAGCACTTTTTCCCCCTCAATTATTTAAGTGGCTCTTTTTCCCCCTGAAATGTTAAATGGACATATTTACCCTTAAAATAAATATTTCATTTATTTTTATTCTCCAATAAATTATTACTATAATTTGGTTCAAACCAGATACTATAGTAACCAAACCAAAATATTCCAATTACAATTTATAATCAAAACGCGATATTTAGAGTTTATTAAAATCACGAACTGGAATGGGCGGTTCATGTTCCAAACTGAAAAAATAAAATACATTTATTGTTGAATTTAAACTATTTTAAAATAAAGACGGTTCAAAATCGCGAACGGGATCCGGAACCGTCGGTTCATGATCCAGTTTTTTTTTTTTTTATTCTTAAATTTAATAAATTGAAATCCAAATGTTGGGTTCTAGATCTGAATCATAACTGAAAACTTTTAATTCAATTGTTATAGTGTCTGGTTCAGTTCGAACCGAACCGTGATAATCGCTACATATACGCAATAATTTGTTGGAGAAGTAAAATAAATAAAATGTTTACTTTAAGGGTAGAAATGTCAATTTAATATATCAGGGGAGAAAACCACCACTTTTAAAATAATTGAGGGGGCTAATGTACTTACATAAATAATTGAGGGAGAAAAAGTGCTATAAGTATATAACATAGGGGGAAAAAGTGTCATTTTCCCAAGTTATAATTAGATAATTGCATTTTCATATTGTCAAGAACACTAAAAGCTTACTCTTGCTTGCAAGAAATCCAAAAATCATATTTTAATTTCCTATGCAAATATAAATATTATTGGAGGCCCACTCATTAGTAGCTGAAAGTTTCAAAGCTCCTGAGATTTTTTAATGCATTTTGAGCCAACTCATTTGATGAACCAATAAAATACCGCACTTTTTAAATAATTCCTTTTCTTTTCATATCTAAGTGCAATTTAAATCTTTTGTATGATTTATGAGTAATTACATCGAGTTTACCCAATACATACTTATAAATTAATTTTAGTTTTTACAGTTTTTTATGTATACATAATGTATTAACTATTTATATTATATATTTTACAATTTTTTCTCATAAGATTATGTAATTTTACATTTATTTTGATTATATAATTTAATATATATTTTTATTCATTTGATTTTTTATCGCGAGTATTTGTATTTAGTGTTATATTATGAAAGTAACATAAAATAATATAGAGTACAAATTTTAATGTAGGTAGTAATATAGAATTTTTTTACAATATCATGTGCTTTACATAGTTATTCTTTATGCTTTGTAAGTTATACTACTCCTATGTATCTTTAGCAACGTACAAGATATAATATTGCAAAACACACGATATTATAACATTTTTCTAAATAATAATAATAATAATTTAGAATATTATATGATATGTATTATATTCTTTTTGTTTAGTATACTAAAATTGTTACATCTACAAAAAAAAAAATACTAAAATTGTTACATATAAGAAATTAAGAATACGACAAATCTTGCCAACGAGACATAAGCTAATATCTTTGAGGAGGGCGTCATATCACTAACTGGCCATAGATTCAATTCTTAACGATGGTATTGTGAGATTTAAAATTGTATAGTTTATTGTAACGTGTTGTGATTATTTATTTATATATATTATTGATTATTATATTATTAATATATTTATTAATATTTTTCAATTAAAATAAATGCAAACTCATTGTACTCCTCATCAGTCTCCAATAAAAAAAACAAGATTTGATAAAAAATTTCCATATTTTTATTTCAGAATTCCAACCACTTCAACCCCAGCAACAGTTGACAAATGTATTGGCAGAAAATAATTATAAAATTAGGTTTAGCCTTCAAAGACAAGGCTCTACCAGAAGAGAAAAATTAATAATAAATAAATAAATAAAATCTTGAAAATAAAAAAAGAAGCTTTAGGAAGATAAAGACAAACGATAGATGACAGACAAAAACATGTCAGAGGTAGGAGACCTGAGACCAAGTCAATCACCTAAGCCATGGGATTTAATCAAAGCTTAAGATAAAATCAATGAACTTTAATCGCTTACTTGTACACATCACTCTGTTCTCGTTCTTGGGGTTACCCTTTTTCTCCACAGAGCTCTCTCTCTCTCTCTCTCTCTCTCTCTCTCTCTTTGGTTGCAGTTCTCAACAGGTCGGAGGACCGGAGAGATAGATGGGATGGTTTCCATGCTCCGGGCAATCGTCGAGGAAGAAAGGCTGCAAGAACATCTCAGTAATCGATCCTAATCCGTCCGGTAATCATTTCGGCTTTTTCTCAGCTCAAAATGGAAGTTTTGCTACCTTTTGTGTGTGTTGTGAATTTATGAAAGTTGTGTTCTTTCGTGTAATCTAGGTTGAACTGTGTTTGGGTTATGGTGGGTTTTGCTTATGGAATGTTGGGTCGGGTTGATTTTTGCTTGTGATTCGGTACAGAGAAATTTATACTGTTCTTGATTCGATAGCTATTTAGTTGGGTGTCTCTTTTGTGTTACGACAGAGAAGTCGAGGTCGAGGAGTTCGTTGAACTCGCAGGATGCGTCTGTTAAGGATGGAGCCAATCAAATTGCAGCCAAGACTTTTACATTCCGTGAATTAGCGGCTGCCACCAGAAATTTTCGGGGCGATTGTCTGGTTGGAGAGGGTGGTTTTGGAAGGGTTTATAAAGGGCGACTTGATTCCAACCAGGTTTTTCTTTAAACCCAAGATATGATAGGGAAATTATATAATTCTTGTTTAAAACTTTCTTGTTGTTAGTTCTTTGAGATATGCTTGGCTTCAATTTATGTGAAATGGCAAGTTTATGATGGAAATGAATCGAAAAACTTCATTCATAAATTTACTAAAAGGAATACTGATATTGATAATCTTGCCCTTGCCGACAAAAGGCGAAATTTCATCGCCCCAGGGCCCCACACCCTCACCCTGGCCCGACAGGATAGTGGATGAGTACCCGCATGGGCAGCTCAAGTGGTCACAGAGGTGAAACTTTGGAAGAATGACCAGGGATCGAGTCTCACCTGCGGCAGTGTGGGAGCAACCTCTCAAAGTGAGGGGGGTTCCTTGTGCGCAGTGAGCACCGGTCTAGCCTCTGTGGTTCATGTTTAGTTGAGTTACCATGATTTACATCCTCCCAAATGCTCTGTTAGGTCGGGGTGTGGGGACCCTTAGGGTTGGGGTTCAGTCTTTTGGAAGAAGGATAGTGGTGACTCAACGACCTATTAGGTGGGGGGACCAGTATCTAGTGCCCACAAGAAGCTGAGGGTGAAAATCCCATATTGCGGCTTGCCCACAATCTTCCATCTATTGGGATAGCTAAGCCATGGTTGCAAATTATAGTTTGCAACGAATTAATACTAGGAAGCAGACTTTTGTACTTTTCTTGTCACATCTTTTGCTATGAATCGGTCATTTCTTGAAAACAATTTAATGTTCTTTCTAGAAACTTTTATGAATGGGAAAATTTCAACTGTCACTGTACATTGCTGACTAAGTGGATCTTGAATGGCTTGTGTCAATTGATTTCTACTTCCCCAATACTCTCCAACTGAAATTGTTCTCAAGTTATTTTTTTGACAAATCCGTTCATTTTTTCAATCATTGCCTTGACTTTATAGTTTATACATTAGCTGTGCATTACTTATTAGTGCGTGGTTTTTAAAACTTTTGAATTTTGAGGTAGGTTGTTGCCATCAAGCAACTTGATCGAAATGGATTGCAAGGAAACCGGGAGTTTCTTGTGGAAGTCTTGATGCTAAGTCTGTTACACCATTCTAATCTTGTTAATCTCATCGGTTATTGCGCTGATGGGGATCAAAGGCTTCTGGTCTATGAGTACATGCCGTTAGGGTCTTTGGAAGATCATCTTCATGGTACTCATCTCGCTTTTCTAGGTGCTCCCCCGAGTGTTAAGGTCACCATTTACCTTCTAACGCTTTTTGTTTTATTCTATACTGTTCTTTTCCCCGCAGATCTTACACCCGGGAAAAAACAGCTCGATTGGAATACAAGAATGAAAATTGCTGCCGGAGCTGCAAAAGGGTTGGAGTATTTACATGACAAGGCTAGCCCACCAGTGATATACCGTGATTTAAAATGCTCAAACATTTTGCTTGACGAGGGTTTTTACCCTAAGTTGTCTGATTTTGGCCTGGCCAAGTTGGGGCCTGTAGGAGACAATACGCATGTGTCTACCAGGGTTATGGGTACTTATGGATATTGCGCTCCCGAATATGCTATGACGGGACAGTTGACTGTAAAGTCAGATGTTTACAGCTTCGGGGTTGTACTTTTGGAAATCATCACGGGAAAGAGAGCAATCGAAAACTCAAAAGTTGGTGGGGAGCAGAACCTTGTTTCATGGGTATGTAAGCGAATTACCCATCTCATCTTAAACGTTCTTTTCAATTCTCTCGATCTCTTCGTCAAGGTCATAGGGTTTTTTCTTCCTTTAAAATGACCATCCAATTTGTTGGGGTGTCGAGGGAAACCCACAGCCAGTGTTGCAAAAATCGCGCCTAGGCGCTAGGCGGTCGGTCACCTAGGCGCTCTAGGCGCCCGCCTAGGCTCTCTAGGCGGTCCCCAGGTGCCTAGCGATTTTTTCAACCTTGCCCACAGCCATTACCCTAGAGTGTGCATTGGGTAAACCCCGCCTTGTGATTTTAGTTGGCAAAGAACCACAAGGAGGCAAACCAGTCTAGGTTGCCCATAGCTGATCGGCTCAAACCAAGAAGGTTGGGATTCGAACTCATAACCTTGTGGTACATTCTATCGATGCTCAAATTTGCATTTTGAATTCCAGGCAAGACCTTTATTCAAAGACCGGAAGAAGTTCAAGCAGATGGCTGATCCAATGCTGCAAGGTCAATACCCGTTAAGGGGCTTGTATCAAGCTCTTGCAGTAGCAGCAATGTGCGTTCAAGAGCAGCCCAACATGCGCCCCGCCATAGCAGATGTCGTTACAGCTCTTAGTTACCTGGCTTCACAAAAGTTCGACCCCGAGTCCCAAGCAGCTCAGAACAAACGCTGGTCACCTGCGGCTTCACCTCGAGCGAAGAAAGATTGTGATAAGAAACAAAACAGTGCCAATGGATCTGAAAGAGATCGAACCTCAAGATTCAAATGAGATCTCACGTTCACTTTGAAATATTCTCTCCAAGCCTAAATCAGATGAACTATTATGGTCAACATATTTCGAAACGTAAAACAGGCTGGTTGGCAGTTTTGTAGCCTATATCCCTCTGTTTTCTTCTGCTGCTTAGGAGCTTGCTTTGTTTACATATGTATAGGCAAACTACATTATATATATTACATATATTTGATTAATTTATATTTCTTGTTGTATCTACATACATTACCCTCGTGTAATTGAGTTTCTGTCATACATTAGTTACTACTTAGTACTTACTATGATATGTTTCTTTACACGAATTTGTTCTATACGACACTCACACATACACTAATGTTTGATTTGAGTTGACAACCTTTTTCTTGGTGCTAGAATAATGTTTTGTATGCAGGTATCGGTGAAGATGATGGATCGAAGCATTCAAATCACAGGTTTCGGGTTTTATCTCGTAAAAGATGTGGAAGAACAACTCCAGCATAGAAGGAGAGTACCCTGCAGCTTGGCAACAAAACTACAGCATCCATCAGTAAGGTACATTTGTTAATATTGCAGTAATGATTAATCCTCAAATTTGTTTATTTTTGAAAGAATATGCAGTTCCATTGCATAAGATTCAGGCTGGTTAGCTGGATCCGTTTGGTTCGGGGGCAATCCCAGCTGAGTTGGCTGGGCAGTTGGGTTGGTAACCACAAGGTTTCAAATTCAACTCTCCATTGGAGCTATCTATTGGCCTTTTTAATTTGAGTCGGTCAGCTATGAGCAATTTAGACTGGTTTATCTTCTTGTGGTCTTTTATCAGCTAGGGTCACAAGGCAGGTTTAACCCAGAGCGCACTTTTGGGTAGTGGTTGCGGGATTTCCCGTAAATCAAAGGGATTAATTCAGCTAAGGGCAATTAAACTTGATTATTTACAAAGAAGAAGGTAAAGGCTTTGGACTTTCTTGGAAATCAAAGGGATCAATTCATCTAAGGGCAATTAAACTTGATTTTTACAAAGAAGATGGTTGGATAGTAATGCAAATAAATAAATAAATGAGAATAGGTAGAAATTAAAAGCTATTAAATATGAAAAGGGTATCCCAGTGAAATAAATGAGAACAGATAGGAAATTAAAAGCTATTGAATATGAAAAGGGGGAAATAAATGAGGTCTTATAAATGCTTGTATGAACAATTTTTCTCCCAAAAGGTTAAATCTATAACCCCAACCCGGCAAAGCATTTGGGAGGATGTAAATCACAGGTGACTAAATAGTTCAGAAGATAAGGCCAAATGTCAATGCCCACAAGAGATCTGTCTACTTTGGGCATAATTCTCACGCTGCCGCTGTCGATATTTGAACATTGGTCTCTTCTTCAAAATATTGTCTACTGAACTAGTGAGCTAAGCCTATGCGGACATTGTATGAAGAATTCTGGTGTTATGAAAAGACTTGTTCCAGGATCAAGTGCTCTTGAAATTTATACAGAGATGAAATCAAAGCTTCATGGCTGCTTCCATTGGACCAAATGACTCTTCTTGGAGGTAGCAAATGATGGCTGCTTCCATTGAAAGAACTCTAGACTCTCGAGGGAATTGGATGACACTATGGCAACACACTATAGAGGCATAAGTTGTTTTCGATATTAGGGTTGGGGTTCAGCTTTTTGGAAGAATAAGTTGTTTTCTATATCTATTGTGATGATATTCGTCCGTTATTTATGGCTCACGCGGTTGGAATGGTTCAGCCTCGTTTCTTGTAATATGATATTTTAGTTAGGTGTTTTTTGTCTTCATTGGGAAAGAAAAGAAAAAAATTCATCATTAATTAATTGTAAGCATCTTTAAAGTGCGTATTTTGGGGGAAAATAATACGGTGTAACACATTTAGCATCTTAGAGCTAATTCACCATTATATATATATATATATATATATATATATATATATATATATATATATATGGAATTTAAATAAAAACAAGGCCTTCATGTAAAAGGTGAGATGACACTCATAGTCTTCCAGTGAGACTTTAGTAAAAAGAATACATAATTTTTTAGTAATAAAAAGAAAAATACATAATTAATTTTAGAGAAAATGGTCAAATAGGTCCCTAAACTTATCCCAAAAGTTAATTAGTCTCCTAAATTTTATAAAAATACAATTAAACCCTCAAAAATGTCAAATTAGGTCAATGAAGCCCAAAAATCGGTAAATGACCTGTTATTACAGGTCATTTCAATTCCGACAACGGATTCCGACGACAAATTCCGGCGAGCGGCGAAAAATCCGTTCAGCGGCAACAAAATTTGGCCGTTCGGTGACCGAATTTTTTCACCGGTGGCAGGAATCTATCGTTGGAATTGAAATGACCTGTAATAACATGTCATTTATCAATTTTTGGACTTCATTGACCCAATTTGACATGTTTGAGGGTTTGATTGCACTTTTATAAAGTTTAAGGGTCTAATTGATCATTGAAGTAAAGTTTAAGGGTCTATTTTACCATTTTCTCTTAATTTTATAATTATTATAAACTTTTAAATTTTTAATATTTATAAAACTAGTTCCACAATTTTCTTTTTATTTTCTCAGCAATCCTTAATTGTTAATCTAAACATATATCAGACCCGTATTCACTTTACCTAAAGTCTATTTAATTTTCATATTAATCTTGTAGGTGTGAGAGAGAATAGAATAATGAGGAGTTATTTGCACTTTTGGTCCTACGACTATGTTGTCACTAACAACTTTGATTCACGACTTTTAAAACTTGTAGAATTGGTTCACGATTATTACTTGCTTAGCAAATTTGGTCCTTCCGGTGCATTCTCTGTTTAATTTTGGTCGGAGATTTTCTCACTTTTTTTAATGTGGGTAATATTGTATGTTTCCATCTCACTATCAGTAAAAGTACATTTTACCCTTTCATCTTTTTTTTTTTTAAATTTCTTCTTTTATTTAAAAATATTACAAAATTAATTACTTAAGATGCATTTGGCGATTTATTTATATTTCGTAGCGGTCATAATTGAATAAACAACGTGCAATGTTCGCTTTTGCATCTTTATCGCCTGTCAGCTGTTCAAGATAAAATATACTTAAACACATAATACACAAATTAAGTATACAATTTAACTATTAATTTAAACATTTAATTAACGTCGAACACATTGACTAATTCACTCACTAAATTATAAGAACCTCTAATTTAACCAATTCTGCAATCACAAAGAGATGGAAAAGACAATATTACCCATGCTAAAAATGGAGGAAAATATTCGGGCTAAAATTGAACTCAATGCACCGGAAGGACCAAATTCGCTAAGAAAGTAGTAGTTGTAGACCAATTCTACAAGTTTTAAAAGTCGTGGATCAAAGTTGTTAGGACACCATAGTCGTGGGACCAAAAGTGCAAATAACTCGAATAATGAGCATTAAAAAATTATCTTAGCTTAATTAAACAGATTTGCAAATAACAGATTTGCCAATAACTCTATTTTAAGTTATATAGTCAGAATTATTATTTATTTATTTTTTGTTTGAAAGGAAGTCAAAATTTAAAACTATTA